GTATGGGTGGGCCGGCATGTAATCAAGCAATTTTTTTGTGCTAGAGGCAATGACCAAACAGGATGGGTAAATCTCCTAATCTGTACTTTCTTGTATTGATTCGTCCGCTTGATCTATCCTGTGGAAAAGTACTTGCTAGTTATGCCAAGTCAGCTTTGCCTTAAAAGGTTTTCCTCAAGTGGCAGAGAGACGGGAAGAACCGTCCGGATCGCTGCCTATTTACTGAGTATTTATAAATATTTTCCAAATACTTTGTAAATACGCAACAAATCAACAAATACTGAGAAAATACTCAACGAATACTCACAAAATACTCACAAGATGCTTATTAATACTCATAACTGAGTATTTGCTGAGTATTTAAAAATACGCAGTAAATTCGGACAGTTCTCTCAGTCGGAACTCCACAGAATAATTTCTCATGTGGCCAATGCATTTAGTTCGCACCATCAGACACTCTTTGCGACTACTTCCGTAATGATCTATGTGATTACAGCTTTTATGCTCTAAGATTGAAACATATCTTAAATCATATTAAAACTATTTGATCATTAATCATCCATTGCTCATTTGAACCTCTACTGATATCAAACTTCTTCGTTGCTTTGAGTTCTAACGATACCTTTCTTTTCTTTTCTTGTCGTTGATTGTTCCAATATGCATCCTAAATCACAGAGGAAAGCTGATGAGTAAGTTTTCTTATGCTCAAAGAATGATTTCTTGGGATATTTTTATTGAGATTGTTCATAGATCACATCAATGTTTATTCTTTTTTTGGTTCAGCTATTCACTTGAATTTGATGATGACGAAGAAGATGGCTCCTTGCCTCAAAGGAGTGTGCCATTTTATAGAGTCGTGACTCTACCAGATGGTCATCGTCAGTGAGACAGCGGCCACTATTTATTGTATGTATAATGATTCATTTATTAAGACGTGGGATGGCACTAAATGAAGATGGCCATAAGAAGGGATATAGTCTTATCTTTTCTTGGTATCATTAATCCCACTTTTACATATGTACTAGTTATCACTTGATGAGGTCATTTCTTAACTAAATGAAAATTATTTTTTATTTTCATATTGAACTTCTGTGATATGTTTAAGATGATTATTTTTTTGGTTTGATGAAGGCTTTATTTGGGGCAGCTTTTTTCTTGCTTTTTAAAATGACTTTTTAGTATAAAAATTTTTTGAATTTGAAATTTTTGTACTGGAATGCCGTTTTAAAAGGCAGCACAAAAGCTGTCTGAAACGAAGCCTATGGC